GATCCAAGTTTGCAAAAATAGAATTTGTGGGAAAAGTCTCCATAACCGTAGGAATCTGAGAAAGTGCCCAAACTTGTCTTGCTTGATGGCACTGAAAGAGTGTGTGATTGACTGTTTCCTCCAGTGCACTACATCTGGCACAACCAGTGTCACAATCAATTCCTCTTTTTCGTAAGTTCTCTGTAAAATTGTATCATTTTTTAAGATATTTATATTTTATAGTTTACAATTGTTATTAAGTAACATTATACCACGGGACAATTTTTGGTTTTATACAATTTTTTTAAATGAGATTCATTTAATATGTCTAATATTGGTGGTATTAAAAAAAAAAGGATTTAATCTGTATTGAAGCGGCGGATTAATGATATTTTAATCTTTTATTATTGTTGATTCAAAAACCCGTCCGGCCAAAAAAACTCATTTATTTTATTAATGTTGATCTTATTTATGATATGATTCTGAATCATTGTCTTAATATTTTAATCGATGTAGAACGTTGAACACACATTTTCGTCAATTGGATAATATATGTCTGTTTTTAAAATTTCGAATCATAGTATATGAAAAAAAAAATAGTTGGGTTATAAACAAAACTGTTTTTACTTTATGTATTATATGATGATTCAAAATAGTTAAAAACAAATCAAACAAAGATGATAGGAGAATTATAATTCTAAATCTTAATCAAATCTTTTAAATATGTAAATTATTAAATATGGAATATCCGGTAGTATGAGTTGGGTTAAATATAACCCGATCCAACAAACTTTTTTATGACCAAAATTTGTAAACGGGTCGGGTATCCAAAGTATCCGAGAACAATTTTACTCACCCGACTCAAAAGTAACTGCAAAAATACTAGTAAAGATGTACCCGCGCGTTGGAGTATTAAACCACTAAAGCATAAATTTTTATCAAACTAAACCATATAAAAGCAAGCTAATCACTCCTTAATCGCAATCTTTAACAAACAAAAAAAGCACAGCTTTATAAAACAAATCCCTAATTTTGGTTGGAACTGACCTGTACATCTAGAGCATTAACATCAAGATGATCTGCAATTAAGAATCGGAACCGAGAGGATTTGTAACGAACTAGAAGGTATATCGAGTAATATACGGTCTAATCCGGTTATTGATGTATTAATGGACTTTGGCCATCAAGATGATCTGTTATTGACATATAATATACTCGACTATGAATTAGTTCTCAAGATATATCGTAAATATTTTCTCATTCATATCTTTCAATATTCAAATTTTTTTTATAAGTTGCATGATCTTTTTATTAAAGTGAATATTAAAAAATCTCAGGAGATATTTATCATAAAGTGTCTTTCACCATGTTTGGTGCATGTAAAATTGCTTTATAGACAACAAATCTCATATATAGACTAATTCGTATTCACAAACTTCGTATTTCAACATCAAATTTTGCACTTTATCTTGACCGTTTGAAAAAAAAAAAAAAAAACAAATTCACATACATATACAATTAGACGTATATTATGATTATATATATATATATATATATATATATATATATAGTATTCTTAATGTTGATTTTCGTAAAATTCGTAACGTACAAACTCATATAAATCATTCTAATTTTAAAATACATTCATTAATTTTTACTTCTAATTAAAAACTCTTCCATATATCATTACTATTCTAGTTTCCAAATAGCATTCGTAAATATTATTGTTACACAGTTTCTTATTCAATTGGATTATTTTATTTTTATTTGTGATGTTTAGGATAGCTTTTATTTGATTTCAAATTTACTTAAAATTTTTCGATCTATGTTAAAATTTCGTAAACACTGATTAATATGTAGTTTTTTCTTTTTTTAGGTATTCATTTGATTTTTTTTAAAACCACCATTTTTTAATTTAGAGAACACTGATAATATTGAAAACTTTATTAATATAACTATCTATATTATATTATAATTATAAATAATAATATGTACTCAATCCTTCTTATTTTTAATAAATATCATGAATTGATACTTTAACATTAAAAATATATTTTTAATTTTAAATGTGTATTTTTCAGAAATGAATTACTTTTTATTTTTAGTAAAAACCTTTAAATTTAGTATATTTTAAAGTTTTATTTTTCTTTATTCTACTAAATAATTGTAACTCATAAAAATAATTTTTTTGTCATTAAAATATATGATAAGTTCTTTTTTCATATCTCTCGTCATTTAGGAATGTTTACTAATTATATGTTAAGATACAATTATTTTATATTTATCCAATCTCTATTCAAAAATTTCATATTTTGTGTTATAAATTTATTTATTTTGTTTTTTTAATCTTTAATTTATTCTTTTGTAAATTATTGCTTTTGTTTAATGAAATTTAATAATATAAATTACAAAATGTGTGAATTAATTATAGTTTTAATGTTTTTTTTTTTGTTTTAGTAAATAAAATATGTGGAACCCACACAAAATTAAAATAAGATGACTTGGATGATAATGTGGACACCCTACATGGAGAGACAACTCTCTCATTATATATAGATTGTTTATTTTATTAATTGAGGAAAAAATAGTTTTCTCCTCTAAACTAGGAGCATATTCCCCACTCTTCCAACTTCCGTAATTGTAGTTTCCATGTTGTTTCTCTATTTAAGGACTTTAATGTCGATTAATGAATTGGGAAGAAGAAAAATTGTCTAAGAAACTGTTGTTCTTATGAGCAATTCTCTTTGGCTTTGAAGCTACCGCCCAATAAAACCGCGAATGCTTATCGGAACAGGACATCCGGCGAGCCTGGACGACGCGAGCCGAACAGAGATGGAGACCCAGGATCCGTCGACATCCCGCCACCGTAGAGTCGTTTTGAGGAGGAAGAAGAAAAATGAGCTTTCTTTTGTCGAAGAGGTTTAATGGTCAGTCGTGAGAGAGAGAGAAGCAGTAGATAGTAGAAAAGGTAACGGTGGCTTAGCTTCACCGGATCGCAGGACACCTCCCCCGTCAATCCACGACCCTGTGAAATCTCATGCGTCTCCAGTCCCAGATCTAACCACCTTCACAGATATGAGGTGGTGGGTTCGATCTTTGATCACCAAAAATAATAACAATTTTTGTTTTTTATTGTAAATGGGCATCAAAATCTTTTGGGCTTCATGCACCAATAATCTTTGGGCCGGCCCTCTGCTCAAAAGAAGAGACGTCCGCAAGAAAAATCTCTCGCTGAGTGATATCGACGCAGAAGAGATTTTCTCTAATAGCTGTTTTGTTTAGAAAGATTTGTCACCAAAACAGGCTCAACTCATGAGTACTTGTTTCTTTGACTAGCAATTTTGTGCTTTATTTGTTTCTTTCATTAGCAATTATGTTCTTTGATATACATAATATTGGTGTGTTTGTGAAAAAACCTTTAAAATTTGTGGATTTCTTCCCTTATATAACCGTTGGTTTTGTAGGAAGAATTTTAAGATAGAAATAATATGTGTGGCATTGCGTATTTTTCTTGAAAAAGTTAAAGTTACTTAACTTTACAAATATTACTGCCAACTGTTTTATTGACTGAATATTAATACATACATGCATTGTCTATAACATAAAAAGGAATTAGCTAACTAATTCTTGACCACCCAACTTTACGTTACTTTTGTGCAGGTCCACATCAACCAAAGTCTCCAAATACATTGTAATAACTTTAAATGTTCCCTATAAATTACTTTTGCTTTTATTGCTATTAAGGAATTAGTTAACATTTCATTTAGATTATTATTTAATTGTTTCAAAATCTTCCTTCATTTTCCCCTTTTTACCTCTCTTTTATTCCATCTTAAGTCTATCTAAAAGTGAAAAATCTAAACATACTTTTTATTTAGGACTAATGCTGTCGTATTCATGTGTTGGTAAAATCTATTATATATAAATAATGTTGAGAGAGGGTTATTAAAACCAGTGTAAAAGAAAGAGGCTCACAAAAACATATCCGAGAAATTTGGCTCTCTTGTTGTGCATGAGTAGTTTGATTTTGTTATACGAAGCCGTAAGGTAGCCAAACATTGGTCTGGTGGGACAAAGATCAGGATCAAGGTACACGTCTAAGTAACTTATAATTATATGAATGCTCCAAGTGTTCTTTTTTTCTTTGTTTGTAATTTTCGAGTTGGTAAACTTTTTGTTAATTGAAAGATAATTTTCGAGTTGGTTTTTCTTTTGGGCACGTATAATTGAGTATTTTATGGCGTTTTCTGGATGATTAAAATTTTGGTTGTAGGAATTATTTATACATTTATCTAATGTGATGTGAAAAGTGTTTTTTTTTTTTTTTCTTTTGTGTGTGTTTCAAATGCAGTGACATGAAAAAACACGTTTCACATAAGAATAACTAATTTTTGATATATGATTAGTATTTAGATATATTTGTTCCCATACCTGCCACAGATAACTAATTTTGTACCCGTACTTCTTATATTATAAAAGCCAATATGAAATTATAAATATTTCTTAAAAATAGGTTTACTTGTGCTGGGTTGCCTCGTTCCGTCAGCCCCGGCCCAATAATTTTTAGAGTCCTACGGCAAAAAACTTTTTTGGCCTTTTAATAAATTTATACAAAAATAATGATATTTTGGATCTCATTTTGATTGAAATTTTATTATTTGAACGCTAATTTACATAATTTTCGTGGAAAAGGCTTTGGTTTATACCAAATATATATATTCTTTTGTGAGCTTATTTGGGTTTTCTTTCTTTCTCAAAATAGATCTTTTTTACAAAGAAATTTTTTGAAAAAGGTGATACGCTCCTGTACTGCTGCCAATCTGTCCTACCCATTTGGGCCGGACCTGCTAAAGTAGTACAGGTGATACGCTCATGTACTGCTAAAGTAGCCAACTAGCAAAGTATTTATCAGTTATTTTTGAGTTACTTGATTAATTTTTTCTACGCATGAAATCTAATTATTATTATTATTATTATTATTATTATTATTATTATTATTATTATATATATATATATATATATATATATATATATATTAGTATTATTGAGTTCTTTTCGAGATATCTCGGCCACTCGATTTTAAGTTTAATATTAGTATATATTTCCGGGTATTTTAGATTATTAGTTTCTCTGTTTTTATGTTTACTATTCAGTGTTAGGCTAATTAGTTATATATTTATATTAAATTGGTTAAAATTATATATATTGTGTTATGTTGATATATGTCAAGTTATCCTATCACTCGTACATTATCTTTCATATCACTAAATATTCCGGCATAATATACTATACTATCATATTGATGTCAACTCTTTTTTTTTCTCTTCGATTATAGGGTGAAAAACGAATTTGTAGGTTATAAATCAAAGTTTTCAACAAAAGCTCAAATTTCACTATGAGCCGCACCAGAAAGTTATTAACGAAAGAGAAGTTGACCGAGCAAATGAATCAAGTGAGCCAAGATGAAGAAAATGTTGCATTGTCGATGTTAAATATGTCGAACTCGAACACCAAAGAAACAGAGAAGAAGCAGATGAAGCGGAAGAAGGATTGCGAGGAAAAGCATGAGAAGAAGCGGAAGACGAATTGGACAAAGGAAATGGAGTTAGAGTGGAGACCTGAGGATTGTGCGCAGCCATTCGGGGAAGTGAGTAAGGTTACTGGTAAGGGTGCAAAGAAAAAGAGTCATTACAAGACATTCAACTTTCGTGGCACACAATATGGACTGGTGAGTTTTGTTTTGCGTTTTGATTTATTATTATAAAGGCTTTGACATATTAGTATTTAAAACTGGTCCAGAAATAATAAACGTCTAGGGTGAATTTAAATGTTTTTTTGTCTTACTATTTTTTTTTTCATTTCAGTTTGAGTTATATTAATTCTCTAAATCAATATAGCTATGTCAGATACTTTTCAGAATATCAATTATTGTTTTATCATTATAAAAACGAGTTATAAACTTAGAAGCTAATTTGCACAAAGAAAAAACTTAAAAACTAATTGATAAATAGTTATATGCAAAACAATTAATACACCGATTTTCTTAATATGTGTAAAACGACTAAAATTATATCATAACTAAAAAAATTATTTTTGTTTTGTTTTAGTTTTTTTCAATTGTATTTACCATTTACATTATATTTTTTTCCCCGTAGGAGGATTCAGTGCTATTGGTTCCAGACGACCCTAACAGCAAGCCCTATGGTGCCATTATAAAGGTTAGTAAAAAAAAACAAATATAAAAATAAATTGATATGCTTTTTAGTTTTTACCTTATCATATGATCAAATTATTTGTTGGACAGGATATTTATATACCAAACAAAGAAAAATACGTGAAACTTTCAGTCCAGTGGTTTTATCGCCCAGAGGATGTGGATAAAAAACATGTTGGAAAATGGGAATCAAAAGATTCAAGAAGCCTATTCTACAGTTTCCATTGCGATGAAGTGTTTGCTGAATCTGTGAAGTACAAGTGTGTTGTGAATTTCGTGCCAGAGAATAAGCAAATCCCAAACCGTAGTGAGCAACCTGGCTTCATCGTGCAACATGTTTATGATTTTGTTAAGAAGAAGCTGAGGAAGTTCACTGATAATGTCTTTGACGTGCACCAAAAGGATGAGATTGATCGTCTTGTGGCAAAGACGATTTTACGAGTTGGTGATCTTCCTGACATTGAGAAAGATCAAAAGACTAAGAATTCAAGAAGTAAAAGAATTGTTCAGAAAGAGTATATGGGAAGAGCTAAGAGAAGGAGTCCTAAAGCCGGGACGGTTTATAAGTCGATCTTGGAGGATTTTGATTTGTTAACCGGTGATTCGGATCGTGACAAGGGATTGGAGGAGCTCCTGGAAGCAGTTAAGCACGAGTGTCGTACAACTAAGAAGAAACAAGCTCGTGATAGTGATTTTTACTGGCCAGATGATGTTGTTCCGGTGGTTCGAGCTCTTGAGCAGGTTTTATATGATTCTTTGGCAGAAGATATGTCAAAGTACAATCACAAGTTGGAGATTATGGTCGATAATCTCAAGGTTAGTTTTATTCCTTTATCTCCTCCATCCTATATTTTTCTTTTTGTTTTGCATGTTCTTGTTTTCTATTTTTTTGTTGTCAATGCATGTGCTCCTGAAGCCCTAAACTTTGAAAAATATTTCATTTTAAATATGAAATTTTTGTTGTTATTGTTTGTTTGCAGAACTCATCACGAGCGCTAGCTAGACGACTTCTCGATGGCGAATTAAAGCCAGAACAACTTATAATGATGGAAAGCTATGAGCTAATGGTAATCTCTTTCATTCACAAACTTTCTTCACATTTCTACACAAAAATCTCTAATGTTGTTTTTCATTTGGTCTACAATATCACCGTTTACGTAATACCGGATTTCGTCAAGTAAATTTGGAATGTTTTTAGTTGAGCCAATACCACTGAACCTGAATCTTAATGTTTTATTAGCTCATAGACTGGTCAATTATTAATCACATCGTAAGTTATTTTGATATGTTAAACTCACTCTGGTTAGCTTTCATTGTTTCCGGACAGCAGCGCGGTTTCACTTTTGATGAAATAACGGCCGACTTGGAAGAGCCAATATTGATGAAAGATGCTCCATCCACCTCCAAAAGTGTTGGGCGCAAAGAAGATTAAAGAAGATGCTAAACCTTCAAATAATTGTATCGTCCTCTTCTTAGTCGCTAGAGGGTTTCTTTCCTAAAGTTTTCTGTCAAGGTATGATGCAAATCGTAGCTTTTTATTTCATGAATTATTATCTAAAACTACAATCTTTAAAGTTTAATAATTTTTATAATGTCATATTTGTAACATGTGTTGGCATGTATTCAGTTGAACTAAATGAATCAAAAGTCATTGTTTTTTTTTCGGATAATTTTTTTGATATCATAGATGAAGATGTTGTATCCCACCAGTCACAAAATTTTAACCTTTGCGCCTTTATGAACAATACGAGAGGGAGAGATAGTATGCATAAACCAAATGGGTAGGAAAGTTAAGTTTGGTAAAGAAGAAATTAAGTATTGGGAGGATCTAAAGATTGTATTGTGGAAGTAACATAAAGAAAGTATGCTTGTCAAATAAAGAAGGCTTGCGTCCGCATAGTATATCTCTCAAATCTCCCTCCATCGTCGAATGCAAGCTCTTTGATTCTCTAGGCAGCAAACATTGCGTCACATCAGAATAAGTGCCTCTCTAGTCTCATGGTACAATATTTTGCAGTGACGAAACATGCATTCCAAAGAATGTACCATACGTCTATAAGCATTACATATTAGGGCTGTCTAAGCCCAATCCAACTCCCCCGTACGATTTGTTATTGGACTCCTTTCCAAAAGGCCTAATACTAATTAGAGTTAGACTTTATATAATAAGATTAGAAACTTCTTTTCTAAACTTCGATGTGGGACGTTGGTTTGTACCCAACAATCTCCCCTCCAAACCAAGGACCACGAACATTGGGCCTCCTCTTCAGCGAAACTTTGACACATTAACTCGGCACTTTCTTATTCGCGAAGTTCTTGAGGCACATTCTTATCGTGTCACATTTGAGGGTTTTCCCCACACCGAACTTTAGCCCACACCCTAAGGTCCACTTTTTTTCGACCTAGGCTCTTATACCATTTATCTAAGCCCAATCCAACTCCCCCATAGTATGATATTGTCCGCTTTGGGCTTACACGTTCAAGTCCGCACGGATTTGTTATTGGGCTCCTTCCCAAAATGTTTCATACTAATTAGAATTAGACTTTACTTATATATTAGAAACTTATTTTCTAAAGTTGACCAATCACATTATAATAAAGAACCATTTTTTTAACAAAATGCGACTAAATCGGTTCCAACTTACACGAAATGCGACTAAATCTGTTCCAACTTATACCGATGATATTGAATAAAACTAATGAGGTTCCAACTGAAGAAATTAAGTCTATTAAAATAATCTTTTGTAATTGCAAGAGTACTATTTAATAATACAAATCTTTTGTGAATAATTCATTTTTCAAACAAAAATGGTGACACTATTTTAAATAAATAATCAAAGTCCAAGTAAACCGATCATACAGAAAGAAACAAATGTGGAACCAGTGAAATATATAAAAGAGTACATGTTTAAATTGCTAGAATATGTGAACGGATGATTTGGATCGGCACAAAATTGTCACTACGAGACGATTTCAGAATTATAAACAATATCCATCTCGACTCTACATATACAATTTTCCGTCCTTATTCGGTATGTTTGATGTATAATTTTCTTTCCATTTTTATAAATCTCTTACAATCATTCAGTTTTTCCTATGTTAAAATAAAGAATTTCAGTTCTTAAAAAAAAGAGACTAAATATCATTTACCCATGGCCTCCTTCACTTACCATTATGTGTAGGTCCGTCCATGACCATAAGTATAATTTAATGCAACAACCAGATTGTTGGCTGATCCGCACCGACTTGAGATGTATCCTCTTCTATTCTTTCATCAATAATATTTTATTTTTAACAATACATATAATTAAAGAGATATGTTACATACTTACATGTAATCGTTCTTACACTTGGTTCACATCATCCTTGTCTCATTTATATTGATCATCCATCAATAGAATATAACCTTAATAATCAAAAGGGTATGCCAAATGAATATTACACTTTTAAGTTGCCACATCAAATGTGAAACTATATAAGAAAAAACAACTAAGTTTCACCTGATCGAAGAGATCTTAATTCTTAGGTTCCCTTAGGATAACTACGAGAAATGCGACTTTTATTACAATACATTTGCTAAGTAAAAACATATATATACCAAGTGGATGGTGGTCTAGTGGCTTTGAGATTGAGTTCCCAACGTTAGTATATACTCACTCTGTTTCTAGTTATTTGATGTTTTGGGTTTTTTAGTTGTTTCACCAAGATTGATGTTTTGTAAAAACATAATTATTATTTTTGTTTGTGACTAATAGTAGAAGGAGGGAAGTAAAACTAATATTATTAAACTAACAAAATAATAATAAAAAAATATAAAAGTTACTTTTTCTTAATTTGTGTGTAAAACTAAAACATCATTGTTTTAGGAACAGAGGGAGTATGTCACTAATTCAAGTCTACTTGGGAGGGAGGAGAAAAAGACGAAAATTAAGCATTGAAGTTTGAAGAATGATAGAGCCCCACTTTAGTCTCTATCCTTTCAGGGCCGACACTTTGTTCCTTATGCCAAGATCCATGATTTTGAATTCAATTGAGAAATTTCCCCTCATGTAACCAAAGATTTATCTCCCTCTAGAATCCATTTATTGCCGTTTTCCAAACTATATAAATAGTTGGAGAGTCCGCAGAGGAATTTGGAAGCCAATAGTGAGAATGGTAGGTACCGGGTTATACATTGCAAAAATATCTTTAGTCACAACGTCTATACACTGAAACACATAAAGATAATGTCTATGTCAATACATCTACCCAAGAACGGTCGTGTCGAGTGAATATCTCATTATATGTCTAATTTGTCGTACACACTTAAATTATGATATTAATAAATATGCACGTCTCGTTCAAAATATTCCATATTCATTCATACTATAACACTGTCTCCATCCCTTATAACACAAAAAAAGTTTTGCATGTTCTCTTAGAAGATATGATATATATACAATAAGGAAAACTTCAAACTATGTATACGAATTATAGATCTCTACTTTATCATCATGTCTCGTACCTAGATCGTAGACCAAAAGTGGTGTTTAATGAAACCAATTAAGTAATGCAACCAATTGTTGACGTACGTTGCGTGGCTTCCTTCTTACCACAACAAAAAAGTGTCCGAGTATTCGTCTAAAATCAAGAATGTATTGGTTACAAATAACAATCTATATTGCCCTTAAAATCATTAACCTAAAAACACTACACTTGAATCAAACATTACGTGTACTTAAACTACAACATTTTTGGTTTCCCAAGATTCGTCTTTTACGTTAGCCCAACAAGTAGAAAAAAATAAATAAACAACGTACAAAAATGGTTGTCGGTTCTCTTCGCAAATCCCACGAGTGTGCAACGAACATTGGTATAAGAAAAGTGGTAATATTTTAATGGACACTACTATATGCACGATTCACGAGTGGACCAATGCATGCTTAATTAATGCAGATGATGGATCTCTCTTTTTCTTTTGTCAAAAAAAAATTGAAATATATCTTTGATGGCAATACTGTAACTTACCTATATTGGGGTCTTAGAAATGACATGAAGAAGTATAAAAAAAAATATTGGTGCTTTGATCAAAAAAAAAAATTATTGGTGCATGTGAGGAGGATCCAAATCAGACTCTATTAGTACCCCTTATGTTCCCGGTAATTACACTCGACGACTGTCACTGACCTAACCTTGGATACAAAATTAACAACCATTTATGGCTCTAACCTAAATCAAGAATGTTATAAACTTATATAATAATATGAAACAACTAAAAAAAGTAGCTTTATCGAGAAAATACTAAACAAAAATAGCATCGTAATCAGAGCATAATATTTTGATTATAGTTTGTAAAATATTTAAATTCATGAGTAATTTGTTTTTTTTGGTCAAATAAACATGTTGATAATATTTTAGTCAAAAAAGTATATTCTTCTAGAATATTTCCTAGTAACAAATTTTATTGGAAAACGATTAACAATGATACAAACTTTGTTTCTTGGATTCAGAAAGTTAAGCTCTTTGAGAAATGCTGTGAAGTAGTAACAAAGTCATGTGGTAAATTAGCTCTCTTCACAATCCTCTTCATGTTGCTTTGTAAACTCTGTTGCACTAACTGCTTCACTGCTTTTCTCTCATCACTCATCCTTAGATCATGACCTCTCTCTCTACCCAATGAAGAAGAAGAAGATATTCCATAAACCGGAGCTGAGACTTGCTTCCCTTTGTCCACCATTCTCAAACACTCTAGTACCCTTGAGGCTCGCTTTTGCGCCAATGGACTTCCTACAAGTATTAGTTCAAGCAATGAAGATTCAATACCCGCTTCGATCATCGCTTTCCGATCTCCATACCCTTTATGAGCCATTAACATAAGGATGTAAATTGCTTTCTCTTGACATTTTATTGAATCATTCCAATTCAGTACATCTACCAATATAGGAAACGCTTCAACCACACCCCCTATCGCTTTCCGTCCTTCAGGGACGGATACCACATTGGTTAAGATGGCGAGAATCCTCTCGCTTACTTCCATGTCTCCCAATGTGTTCAAGAGATATGGAATCAAATCTGTTTCAAGGATGAAGAAAACGTTTTGTTGATTGATTGAAAGGTTGTAAAGAGCTCGAAGAGCGTCTTCTCTAGCTTGTGAGCTGCTAGTTTCCTCGAAGTTTTTCAAAGTTTTCACTAGAAAGATAATTGCACCCGAGGAACCGATGATCGGTTTATTGGCATCTAATGCGCTTAGCCCTAGGAAATTCGCGACAATAGCCTCCGAAATCGCTTGATTTGGAGGCTTTGATGACTCAATTAGCTTCAGCATTTTGTGAACAGCTTCTGCTTTAACAATGGCTTCTTTGTTCCTGAAATTCAGAGAATTTAACCATATGTCATTCTTACAAATGATTGAATTTAATGCTTCAACTTTTCCAAGTTCTTGGCTTTAGAAAAACATATAACCAAAACAGATCAAACCCTTAAAAAAAAAAAATCATTGAAAGTGACATAACTATTAAATGTTCTCTATCATTTTACCTAAAAGAAGCAAACCAACAACAACAAAAACCATTCACAAATCTCAAAATGTTCGAAAAATCAAACACAAAAATGTACTTGTAACATGCAATACAATGGAAACAAAACTCAAAATGTACTAAAAGAAACTCACACATCATTGCCGATTCCGAGATTGAGAAGAGCGTAAAGCGAAGCGATTTGTGAATCGTCGTCGTCGATCATACTAACCAACGGTGGAATCGCACCGAGCATCGCAAGTGTCACTCTCGCCTCCGTATCATCTTTTGCTAACAACCTAACCTCACTAGCCGCCACTATTTTCTTCTCCGCCGTCTCCGCCTCCACTTGTAAATCTCTAACAACACGTTTTAGAATCTCAAGTGTTTCCTCCTTCTTCTTCGTCTCAACAACACTCTCTATCACCGCTAAGTTTAACAGATCACAAAGCTTCTCTGATTTCCTTGCTAAATCCTCTCCGATTGTTATCGATTTGGAAGCATCTTCGTCGTCTTCTTCTCGGAGTTCACGTTGGTAACGAGAGCTACCGCCGCAGCTAATTGCGTCGAAGATGATCCTGCGCAATGATGATCCGGAGAAAGTGTTTCCGGAGGCGGAGGAAGAAGAAGAAGAAGCGGAGGGTATACGGTGAAGGATAAGAGAATCTACATTGTTACGGTGACACTTTGCCATTATCGCCGATCAGTTCTATAGAGCTTGAGGAAACAAGAGAGAGAGAAAGAGAGAAAGAGAGAGAGTTTTGTTCTGTTTTTTTTTTTTTATAGTTTGTTTTGTTTGGAAGCGAAAACAGAGGAAATATATGATTTTTAGAGAGATTTTAGCGACTTTTTTATTTTGCAAAAAATATTATAGAGATCTAGAGAATATTTATTTTTTAAGGTTGAGAATTCAGAAGTTTCACTTTTATAGTTGGGTTTTGAGTCGGTTTGATGGACTAAAATAGTTGACCCGCAAGATACACATTTTGTTTTTTGTTTTTTTTTTTTATGTTAAAACAAATACTTCTCCTATGATGGTATAAAGATGGGTACCTACAAAGATTGAATTTTTTTTTTTTTTTTGATAATCGAGTTTTGAATTAGTTAGTTAAATTACATTTTGTATTTAGTTTATTGATTTTATTTTCTTGTGAAGCGTTAAATATCATGTGAAGCTGTACCTCTCGTAACAACATAATGAACATTTTTAAAAATCATTTCATTCATATAAAAATGATAAAATGATAGCTAAAGTTTGATTCTTATTACATTATTAGCACTCAACACATTTGCTTTGCTTCGTTTGTTTTAACAACGTTTATTTTATCTCTTTCATCTCTACAAATAATCTGTTGAGATGTTTATTAGCAGAAATATTATGTTCAGATGCACAGAGCAAGTTAATTTATGATTTTAGTCTCTTAAAATAATTGTTTGAGGAAAGTAAAATTATAAGATTTAGCAATATTACTAAAAAAAAACCATGTCCGATGAGAAGAGCGATTTTTTTTTTTGTTTAGCCATCTCAATTTAAGTGCTTTGCTCAGTTACTTGTTGACTAGTTGTGGATAGTTTCAGTACCATTCTTTAAGGCTTGCTTATCAAGTTTCAGGTAGAAAACGATAATTAAAATTTAATTGATAATAGTAGGCTCATTTCACAATTTCAAAAGTATAATTTATAAAACGATAGTTAAAATTTAATTGATAAGACTGGATGTACCAGGTTCTTTCCCCTCATTACAAGACACGACTGACATTTCAAAGTCACTAACTAATACTATATCACTAACAAGCATACTAACTCGATTTAAATACCAAACAAACGAATTATTAAGAAACTTGTAAGAATAAACAAATATTTCAATGTCGGAAGCTATTAAAGAGAATGATCCGATTCAATTCTAACGACATGAGAACGTGGTTAATATTTTTTATTTAACGTTTCTTCAATTTGATTTGGTAAGATTTGTAATCTCCTTATTCGAAAATCAGATCTCGAACAAACTATAATAGTGCCACATTGGTACGTCCATAAATGATCTTAACCACATTTTTCACCGCTCCAAGTTAATAATTTCAAATGCAAATGTCGGTGTGTTCCCATTTACTTTTGTCCGCAAAAGATAGTCCTCTAAAACCAGACAATCCGTACGTGTTAGAAAAGAGATCAACACTAAAGTACGAATCTACAAAAGATAGAATAGACTAATTTTGTTTGTATATATATATAGTTAAGCGGCCATTTCTTCAGGTGAAGCATTACTCTCGAGCTTCTTGATAACCAATTTGTTGTCACTAGCCAAGAGGTCAACATCGACAAGAACGGTATCTTCTTCTGCGAAATCTCCTTTCAAAACCCCGACAGCGATCTCATTCTCCACCATTTGTTGAATCACTCGCTTCACAGGTCTCGCCCCGTAGTTGGGGTCAAAGCCAAGCTGAGCCAAGAGATCCACTGCCTCTTTTGTATACTGAAGATTGATTTTCTTCTGTTCCAACCTACTCTTCACCCGTCTCATCTACACGTTACACAAATGTTATAACATACGTCAGACATGTAAAAGGGTTTAAAATACATCTAATTAATGGATAGAAGAATAAAGATTCTGAAAAGAAAAGTGGGTGTAAAAGGGTTTGTTACCTGTAACTCTACGATTTTGGAGATTTCTTTAGAATCCAGCGGCTGGAAAACTATGTATTCGTCAATTCTGTTCATGAACTCGGGTCTAAAATTTTGTCTTGCTAACTCCACAACTTGTCGCTTCATTATCTCATAAACTGCTTCTTTGCTGTCTTCATTGTTGCGGAGGGTCTCAAGTATGTGGTGGGAACCTATATTCGACGTCATAATTACAACACAGTTTTTGAAACTTACTGTCCTCCCTTGAGAATCAGTTATTCTTCCATCGTCTAGCAGTTGTAGCAAGATATTAAAGACATCAGGGTGGGCTTTCTCGATCTCATCAAACAAAACCACCGAGTAAGGTCTCCTGCGAACAACTTCAGTTAATTGCCCACCTTCTTCATAACCAACATAGCCAGGTGGTGCACCAACGAGCCGCGAGACTGAGAATTTTTCCATATACTCACTCATATCGATCCTCACTATTGCATTTTCAGTGTTAAAAAGGTATCCCGCTAGAGCCTTGGCAAGCTCGGTCTTACCAACACCTGTTGGACCCATGAACATGAAACTAGCTATTGGACGGTTAGGATCAGAAAGACCAGCCCTTGAACGTCGGATAGCATCTGCTACTGATTTTACAGCCATGTCTTGACCAACAACTCTATGGTGGAGAACTTGTTCCAACATGACTAGCTTTTCTCTCTCTGATTGCTGAAGATTAGATAGTGGAATACCAGTCCACTTGCTTACTATTTCTGCTATGTCAAGATCGGTAACCTCTTCTCGGAGTAGTGACTGTCCAGACTGTCGGAAATTCGTGAGATTCTTCTCAGCTTCTTCTAATTGGCGTTGGAGGGACATAAGTGTTCCATACTTAAGCTCAGCAGCTCGGTTTAGATCATATTCACGTTCAGCAGATTCAATTTCGAGGTTTACTCGATCAATCTGTTAAACATAGAACATGTTACAGAGGACATCACAGTCGATATATACCATCAACATAAGCAACCACCACAAGTACTACAACCACTAAAAGTACTATTTAGAACAAGAAACTACGAGTGTCGTATAAAATTATTTTTATAAGACGTTAAGCCGAAAAGGCATAGTGATGAAGAAAGATTTTACCTCTTCCTTAAATGAACGTATTTTAGTCATGAGCGACTTTTCTTTCTCCCATTGGTCACTGAGTTCTTTCTGTTTATGTTTGAGCGTGGACAGATCATTCTCAATCTTCTGTAGCCGTTCTTTAGAAGCTTTATCAGTATCATTTTTAAGAGATAGCTTTTCCATCTCTAATTTGATCACAGCTCTATCTATTTCATCTAGTTCAGTTGGTTTAGAAGTGATCTCCATCTTCAGCTTTGCAGCAGCTTCGTCAACAAGATCAATAGCTGAAACAAAAGAACTTTCATCTTAGAAAACAATACTATGGTCAAACACTTCCCAAGAAAACTGGTTAGAATCAGGGAAAGTGTATGTCCATACCTTTGTCTGGCAGAAAGCGTTCAGTGATGTATCGGTCTGCCAGAACAGCTGCTGAAACAAGGGAACTATCTGATATAGTAACGCCATGGTGTAACTCGTATCGCTCTCTTAACCCACGAAGAATCGAGATAGTATCTTCAACAGAGGGCTGAGTACATAACACTTGTTGAAACCTACGCTCTAGAGCTGGATCTTTCTCTATATATTTTCGGTATTCGGTCAGTGTAGTTGCACCAATGCATCTCAGTTCACCTCGTCCAAGCATTGGTTTCAAGAGGTTGCTCGCATCCATTGCTCCCCCCATAGCTCCTAAATAAGAGTAAAAATATTAGCCAATTCATTATTTTCATCTTACCAATAACAAAGTACTAAAGTGGGTCAAAAGACATAAGAAACAAGATTAATATGAGTAGATCTTTTAATATCTTAACCATAATTTTCCATCTATAGTTTAACCATTAATTTGCCGATGCAATGTTCTTCTACTCAACCACGTTTACTTGGGGAGTGCAGTATATGCATATATACATGTATTGTATATAAAAAAATTCATCAATGTTTATAGTAGTATGTGGTGGATAAAATGAAAAAAAAAGTACCTGCACCAACAACAGTGTGGATCTCATCAATGAACAAGATTGTCTGCCCATTGGAAGCAGTTACTTCCTTCAATACTGCTTTCAACCTTTCCTCAAAATCTCCTCGATATTTGGCACCAGCAAGAAGTGAACCCATGTCGAGAGATATCAACTACATGATAAAGAAACCACGCCAAACATATTAAAATCTTCCTCAAGCCTTTCTACAAGAAAACTGTAAACCATTCTTAATTTACTGGAATAAACCTTTCGATTCATGAGAGGTTCAGGGACATCTCCTCGCACAATTCGTTGAGCCAACCTGAAAAAAAATTAAAATTTCTCAAAGCGTAAAAACATAATTCTCTGAGGAAAAGAAAAACAAGGGATATAATAACTACAAGTCTCACCCCTCTGCAATTGCAGTTTTCCCTACACCAGGCTCACCAATAATAACAGGATTGTTTTTTGTTCTCCTACACAATATCTGAATGCAACGCCGAATTTCATCATCCCTCCCAATAACAGGATCGAGTTTCCCTCGTCTAGCCATCTCAGTTAAATCATTTCCATACTTTTCAAGTGCTTCATATTTGCTTTCAGGATCTACATGTGTAGCACAACATCATTAGAGTAGGCTAAGGTCACTAAAACATCATGAGAGTACCAACACAAAACTTACTTTGATCAGTTACTCGTTGACTACCGCGTACATCTTTTATAGCATCCTTAAGCACTTGCATATCAAGTTTCATATTCTTGAAAAATTCTTGACCAAACCTTGCATCAGAATAAAACGCCAAAAGAAGATGTTCGACGGATACATAACTATCTAACATATCTTTCTTATGCCTCTTTGCATTTTCTAATATAACACTAAGAGATGACCCTAGTCTCTGACCACCTGTATCACTAACCTGCAAAATCAAATTGAAATTACAGTTAAAATTATGTTCTGATGATACACATAAAAAAAAAAGAAACTAGTTGCTAATACCGTTGGTTGTTTAGATATGAACAAGTCAGTAGCTTGCAAAACAGAGGAATTGTCGATTCCGGCTTTGGCGAATACTCTTCTAGCCATACCATCTTTTTGCTCAAGAAGAGCTTTCATCAAATGTTCAGATTCAACAATTTGTTGGTTCGATTCACGAGCCGCATCATAGGCATTGATAAGCCCTTCCCATGCCATCTCCGTAAACTCATTTTGATTAATCTACATAAACAACATTTTATCATCACTAAAGCGATAATGAACAACTCAAGCAAAGCCTAGAGGTCGCCGGTTCGAGTGAGACCATATAAAATGCTCTGGTCCCTATCTATGGGCCTAGAACTTCTTAGTAATTCAAAAAAAAAAAAAAAAGTTCCAAGATCAAAATTGAAATCGCCATGTAACCGATGACGAACCTGAGCAGTGGTGGTGGAGAAGCGTCGCGGAGAAGGGAATTGAAGAGAAAGAGGGAAGAGTTGGCTATGAGTAGTCGTTTGAGTGATCGAAGAGTTGTTGTTTCCGGTGATTCCGATGAATGAATTTGGCCGGAAAATAGAGGAATTGGGAGAGGTGTAGTGAGGAGAAGAAGAGAGAGGACGAGAACGGAGGAGAAGAGATGGTTTCGAGAGAGTATATTGAGCTTTGATGGCTGAGGAAACAGATTTGGATAATCTCCTAGACGCCATGTGAGGTAAAATGAAGAAAGTGTTCTTTAGGTTTTAGGGTTTTTGGAATGAGGAAGAGGAAGAAGATGGAGGTTTTCTGCTTGGAGAACTTGGAGAAGAAGTTTGTAGAATTACATCGGGAAACTTCGATTGGAAGAGTTTAGAAGTTTTTAGAACACACAACTGGGTTTTTCTCAGGATTCTAATACCTAAACCGATTTTCGGTTCATGTTGGTAAGATATGATTTGAATCTTTCGAATTCCTTTTGGTTATAGTAAACCAAGTGGTATTTTATATTATTATTTTTACTTTTAATCGCCAACCAAAAGTAAGGGTAGAGCAGGTCAAATTATTTGTTTGATCCGTTTTGATTTGAAAATTTTTGAATATTTGTAAGATTTTAGAGCAAAACAAATAGAAAAAAATATAGTATTAATAAAAACCAAAGCAAATCACAATTTTTTTTTTTATCAGATATCTACTTCGATCCGTATCAATAGATATATACACACTAAATTATGATATATATATAGTGTATTTTGTATCTTTTGGATATATATATATATATATATATAATATAGTGTGTAATTTTGTATCTTTTGGACTTGTATTTGTAACTTCAGTTTTTCATCTTTTGGCTATGTGTTTGTGATATCAGTTTTTATTAGTGAAATAAAATTTATTAAAGAAAAAAAATCTGCATCCCTTAAAAATAAGAAGTTGGAATCCTCCAACGATTCCTTTTCCCAAATTTTATCTTCTTCGTAGTTTTACACCCGAGCATGTTTTAATAGATGCATGGAAAAATTAATTCTCCTATTTAAAATGAAATTAGTTCATATTTTTATATTCTTATCACAAAATTGTCGTTTCAATTTCCAATCCATCAACTATAAAGAGCAACGTTTCTGTTTACTTTCTTCAACCTTTCACTATTGTATCACTCAATTTGCTTACAAAATTTATAACTAGAAAAAATCTAGTTGCTCTCAATCTCACACGCGTTAACCAGAAGGTAAGAAATTTGAAATCTATCAAATTTTTGATGATTATGATTAACCGGACTATCCGCAAATATCACAAAAAAATCTGATATTTATTATGCTTATGTGCCGATATAGGAGATATTAGAGTGGCTGGGGCCTGGGATCTTGGTTCCGGTGATGCGATCATAGTCTTCAACGATGTTGGCTTGTTCTTCTTCTGACTTGACAGAGATTAGAGTCTCGAAAAACTTGAGATTGCTTCATTAGAGTCTCGATGAAGTGAAACGTTTCTCAAAATGGTGAAGACAACCCGAGATCCACAATATTAGCTCTAATTGATACATCATGCAAAATCCCATTATCAAATTGCAAGAACAGAAAGGAATGATGAGGAAGATGAAGACTCTGTAAGAATTATTTGGGGTCACAGTGTATTAATCAATGTGTTAGGGTCATTATTTAATTAGTCAAGACTTATGTGGTCACTTTGGTATAAAGTAAAAGATATGGGGCATAAGTGTTATGGAAAATTAATGTGTGGATACATTTAGTAATTTCTAATTTGATGAGGGGCCAAGTTATAAAAAGAGGGTTATGGTCCCCAAAGCAACTCTAACCAGAAATAAAGAAATTCTCTGCATTCCCAGAGACCTAAACCTATTCAGGGTGTGCTTTGGAAGACCTAATCCCAAATTCAGATATTAAGCTATGGATTCATCAGGTACGCTTTCGCTTATGTTATTAATCATCAGGAACTAGCATGGATTTATGGTTTAAGGAATCATAAATATCTTTCAGATCCACCAAACGTTTGATTTTTTTACTTTGGGTTCACCATTTCCAGAGTTTGAGTTAATCAATCTAGACAGAATTGAAATTCTTAATAGATTAAATTTGTGTTTAAGATTGGAATCCTTGGGTAAAAAGAAAGGAAGAAAAGAAGAAAGGAAGGAAGAATGAGGGCAATATCTAAGTATGCCTAATTCTGTAAGCCCAGTAGAAAAATGCCCAATCTCAAATATTAAATCCACAAAATGCCTAAATCTATAACAATTCCAACTTTTAATACATGCTTATAAATATTTGATTAATAACACAAACTGTAAAATTTATAACTATTATTTTAATTATTATTGGTTTTTTTTTAATAAAATATAAATTACTGATATTCTGAATAATATTTTCATTTCATAAACCACTTAAATTACTTGTTTTGTTACCCTCACTTTGTTTTTCGACAATCACATATTATTAGTTTCGTCTCACCTAAAAAATCTGAAAATTTAAACCATCAATTATCTTTAGTGAAATAAATTATAATTTTTTTTTCTTTTTTGAACTATAATTTATATTTTATATTAGTATTATTTATAAATACCATTAGTTTATTACTCAGATTATAAATAATAATATAACATTAATATAAATATTCATAAATTACAACATATTAATATTATTTATAATCTGGTCAAAGAAAAACATATCATTCTAAAATTATACGCACACTAATTTGAAAAGAATGTGTTGAATATTTTGTTTAGTCTTACTCTTTTGCTTATCGTAAGTCCATCAAATCAAAGGAATAATTTCGATTGTCAATAATAAAATAAATTAACAAATAAAATAATTTTTTTTAGTTATTAAGAAAATAAATGTAAAGTGTTAGGAGATCTTAAGATTACGAGATCGATGTAAAATATATTTTTTTATCGTTATTAGAAAAGTTAACATTTGTACAATATATATTTTATTGTTAAATAGGTAGATCGCATTGAATTGAGCTTCTTTAGAGCACTGCTAGTAAAATTGGGCTTTCAGGAGAAATGATAGGTTGGGTTATGGAATGCGTCTCTTACTATTTTTTGATGAACGGGTCGCCTCCTCGGAAAGTTTCCCCCACTAGAGGTCTTCGTCAAGGAGACCCACTCTCTCCATATCTCTTCATCCTTTGTACCGAAGTTCTATCCGGCCTTTGCTGTAAAGCACAAGAAAACGGTTCTCCCCGGCATCAAAGTTGCAAATGGATCCCCCTTCCCCCATAAATCACTTATTTTTTTGTGGATGACACAATGTTCTTTTGCCGCTCGGATGGAAGGAGGTGTGAGACCCTTGTCTCCAATTTAAAAAGTTATGAGCTTGCTTCGGGTCAAAGTATAAACTTTGGGAAGTCTTCCATCACCTTCTCTTCAAAAACTCCCCGAGAATCGAAGGAAAAAAGCAAAAAGACTCTTAAACATTTTTAAAGAAGGTGGAGTTGGAAAATACTTAGGCTTGCCCGAACATTTTGGGAGGAAAATGGTTAGTATTACAACATCTCAAAAGCTATGGATTGTTCTAGCCATAACTGTGTGTGGCTTTTTCCAGTTTATTTGAGTTATAAAGAAAGTTGCAAACTACTAAGAAGAAAGAGAAATCTATGGCTGGGTATTTGAAAGATATCAAAGGTGTTTGTGAACAACTAGCCTCTATTGATAGTTAGATTATTGAGAAAATGATAAGCTAGGAGGCATGTGTGGTAGCTCAAAAGGAGAGAGGCTCGTGAATAAGGAAAGAGAGCAGAGAAGGCACGTGAAACAGAGTTAAAACAGAGCAAGAAGAAACAGATTTTTTAACCACTTGAGAGTCTAGTGAGTTGTATATAAATAGATAAAAGAGTATTGAAGAAGTTATGCATGTATTGATGTGTGTAACAAACGTATGGTTTGTTAGAGGATAGTTAGGAAATCTCTTGAACAAATCTCCATTGTTAGGGCTTGGAAACATTGTAATCGTTGAAGGATAAGGAATAAAGAAGAGTTTCATATCTCAAACCTTTTTAGAAATGAAGATTTTTGCTGCTTTACATGGCCTTGTTAGGAATAAGAATCTTTTAAGACATCTATTGAATATTGAAAGACATGTCAATGTGTTTTAGTATTTCTAAAATCGAATGGAAATACCAAACTTCATTATTCATTATTCATTACTCATGACATGAGCAGATCAAGTATTACATGACTATATTGAACATTAGTACATTACATATATTTTTCACCCATTATTCACTGACATTAATTGAAAAGCATTCATTAACAAACATAGAAATTCACTCAAGTACCAACTAATTAATTTAGTTGGTATCACCAAAATAAAGTTTGTTCATAGCAGCCATCTCTCGCTTGAATTCAACCATTGCGTCTCTCGGCAACTTCATGATCACTTTGACTCCACCTTCCATTGATGGATCCAATTTTGAAGGTTTCAAGATCATCCCTACGTGCACTGTGCTCTCCCGTTGGGTCAACGGTCGTAAATTCACAGGCTCATCCCAACCAAAATCCATCGATCCGAACCAGCCAATATTCCTCCAATCCGTCAAGAAAAACAATCCATCGCTTACCCCTTCGAACATCGCATCATCCCTCATCAATCTCTCCGTGTTCTTTAGCTCTTCCTCGATATACCCCTTTTCATAGGCTGTTTTCTTCGCTTTCTTCACACGATTCGCGATGTCAAAGATTGATGATTCTTGGAGTTCTCTCACAGTTAGCTCAACATAAACGTCTATGTACGCATTACCGTAGTATCCTTTAGGAAGTGGTGGGTCCAAAACATGTCGGATTCCAACAGCCACGCCAAGGACAGTGATCCCGTCAGGGTTTAGTTTTAGAGCTCGAGATCTTAATTTCCATACGTAAGAACTTAGTACTTCATAAGTAGTGAAACTCTCTTTGAGGTAATCACATTCCCTCATCAAAGAGTCTTTAAGCCTTTTAATATCTCCAGCGGGAATGTTTATTATCTCCGTGACCTGTTGGATAATAAATAAATAAAATCATTTACCTAATCATTACAAAAATACAAGCAAAATGAGCTAAATACATTAAGATCATCCGACCTAATATATATTCTTTGTATATAACTACAGATCTAAAAGCTAAATGAGCTAATTAAATCATAACTTATAATAATATGATATTAATGGGATAATATAAATCAAATCAGTAGTTGGCAAATATGGTGAGGAAGTACATACGACATCAGTAGTTGGCAAATATGGTGAGGTGGCCAAAAGACCATCAATGTGGCTGCCGGGCACTTTGCCTGGTTTATTGTCAATTTTTCCGACAAGGCGCTCTCTCTGCCACACTGGCTTCACCGATGGCTCAGTCTTTCCGGCAGCCAACTCGGTCAAGGCATGTATGATCTGAGCCACACCGTATCCGTCACACACAGCGTGTGTCAATGCGGTGCCAATGGTGAATCCTCCACATGCAAACTTGGTAACCTTCAAAAGAAACCAATAAAGGAACAATATATTATCTTAATTGTTATGTATTGAACAAAAAGAAATATATATATATATATATATATATAGATATATATATATAGATATATATACAATGTTATTGATACAATTAAGAAAATGAAAAGATACCTGCAAAGCTAGAGGGTGATAAGAAACGTTGCTCTCGTAGTCGATTTCGATATCAGGAACAAGCCGCAAAGCAACTTGGTCATCGAGGTTTTCTATATAGTTTAGAGAGGAGAGGTCTAGAGTTGATGTAGCGACTTCAAATGGAACTCCCTCACCGAGATAAACCAATTGAAGCTTACCACTACTCTCACTTCTCATCAGCTTGCCTGAAAGGGGATAGTAATGCACAAGAAGTTCGGACAAAGCCTTCCTAAGCAAAGAAACAGGATCATTTAGCTTCTTTTGGTTTGCTTTGAAAACGTAAATAGTTGCATACATAACTTCATTGAAAAGATCGTTGTCTAAAGTGGAGAGGGAGAGAGTTTCATCACAAGAAGTGTGTTTTGCGGGTTTAACAAGCTCAACTGGTTTCTTTTCAAGTAATAGAGGAAGGATTGGTTTTCTTTGGTTTGACATCTCTAACCAATGTTAGAATATTAGATACCTCTCGATGTTGTTTATATATAGTGAACTGCCGGGGTCGTTGGTTTAAATGAATGATATATAGATATTATAAAACTTTTTTCTGGCTGTAAAAAAAAAAAGAAAAAAACCAAACAAATTGTCCTGATCCCAACTAGTCGGAGTAAAAAATTTCAAAATTCGATAAAATAATATAGGGAGACTCACAAAAATGCCCCTTTTTCAATACCCCTTTTCAAAAATGCCCCCTTTGGATGTCCATTTTTAAAAATACCCCTTTTATGTACAAAATGACTAAATTACCCTTCTTTTAATAAAAGATATCATAAATATATAAGGAAATATAACAAAATTAGGTCCACAAAATACAAAATATTTTTTGGCGGGAAAAGTGATCCCCCAATTTTTCCCGCCAAAACACTTGTAAAAATTTGTAAAACCTTTAAAATACCTTGTAAAATTTTCCCGTAAAATTTTTCCCGCCAAAAAATTTTCCCGCCAAAAAATTTTTTTTGCGGGAAAAGTGATTCCGCAATTTTTTTGGCGTTAAATTTTTGGCGGGAAAATTTTTCCCGCCAAAAATTTACAAGGTATTTTAAAGGTTTTTTACAAGGTATTTATAAGGTTTTACAATGTATTTTAAAAGGTTTTACAACGTATTTACAAGGTATTTATAAGATATTATAAGATTTTACAAGCTATTTTATAAGATTTTTACAAGTTATAAGGTTTTACAAGTTTTTTATAAGGTTTTACAAGTTATAAATACCTTATAAAACCTTAAAGTACCTTGTAAAACCTTTTAAAATACATTGTAAAACCTTACAAAACACTTGTAAATACCTTGTAAAAAACCTTTAAAATACCTTGTAAATTTTTCCCGCCAAAAATTTTCCCGCCAAAAAAATTTCGCAAAAAAAATTGCGGAATTACTTTTCCCGCAAAAAAAATTTTTTGGCGGGAAAATTTTTTGGCGGGAAAAATTTTTACGGGAAAATTTTACAAGGTTTTTTAAAGGTTTTTACAAGTGTTTTGGCGGGAAAATTGCGGGATCACTTTTCCCGCCAAAAAATATTTTGTATTTTGTGGACCTAATTTTGTTTCAAATAAGGGTAAAATGGTCATTAAAAATTAAAAGAGGACATACTTAAAAATGGACTCTCAAAGGGGGCATTTTTGAAAAGGGGTATTGAAAAAGGGGCATTTTTAACAATTTCTCAATAATATATTTCTATAAATCTTTAAGTAAATATATGTAGATAATATAAACCAATCTCTTATATATTCGGGACAAGCGTAAGCATGTTCACGATTACGGTTATTACAGTGACGGTTGATTAACCACCAGTGACGATTATAAATCTTGTTTAACCGTAACCTTAACCACTATATATACGGTTAAAACGGCTACGGTTAAATACTGTTACAGTTAAAACAGTTACAGTTAAATACAATTACAGTTAAATACAGTTACAGTTATTTAATGATTATGATACGGTTAATATCGGAGACGAAATCTTACGAGTTACCTCTCTTTTTATACTACTTTTAATAAGATGAAAAATATGTTATAAACCAAATTTTCTTCATTTCGAGCAATTAAGCATTAAAAATATTTATTTGAGAAAAAAATTATTTTTTCTAACCTAGATTTTTTCAAATGCGGTATTATTTTTTATTTTTTGAAATCTTTATCTGAACATTCGATATTTTTTTTGCATTATACGCAATTACAATTATATTTTTAAAGTTTTAACTATATGGTTAATAGTGCGGTTAACCGCACACGTTTAACTAACGGTTTTGATTCTTTTACGGTTAGTTAACGGTTACAGTTAATATATTTTTAAAATATAATTAATATATTTCTACGGTTAACGGTTATAGTATTTAACCGTTTTATACGGTTATGGTTCGGATATGGTTGAGAAACAGTTTGGTTACGGTCCGAAATACGGTTACAGTTAGGTTTTGGTCATGCCAAGGCGTGCGTGTGAAAAAAAGGCATTTGCTTTAGGTCCCTCATTATTAAGCAAATTTTGGATCCAAAAAATTAAAATTGTTAATTGATAAAATATATATATTTTAGTGCTATTTTCGTAAGTTTGAATATTTGTTTAATATATTAGAAGGACTGCTATCTCTAGTACTTTACAATATAGGATTTCGAATTTTAGTATTTTTATAGATAAAAATAGTATTAACTAAGAAAATAAATTGTGAAAATTGTATAAAATTATACATTTAAAGTAATTAGTACAATATTTTTTTTCATAGAATCAAAAATAGTGTTAAGTGTGAACTATATCTATTTTATTACAAAATAATATGTTAAGTTTTAGTTATAAGTTATAATACACTTTATCAGGAAAATATATAAATTTTTTTTTTTTATTATATTGCTTTAAGCCACCCAATCTCTAGGCATGGTCTTGCTACAAGACTCTTGTATATACTCTAAACTTATAAACTGCATACTATAATCTTATATGAATAATGGATTATAAGAAAAAATCTCTCTTTAAATTAAACATTATTACTCTTATCGGTTAAAATAATTTTAGTTCTAATAATATTTATTTATAGTGGTTTATTGTATAAGCATACTTATCGAATGACACTAAAAATTTTCATTTTTATTTAAATATTTAACACAGTTTAAGCCAATTTAAAATGAATGATTTAGGTGAATAACTATTTTTGATAAGTTATTTAAGAATATAACACTATAAATTGAAAAATAAAGAAAGTAATACAGGAAGATTATGGAATGACCAATTTGGGTTTAGATGTTGGATCCATATAAATGTGTAAAAAGAAATAGAAAAAGAGAGAAGAGGAGGAGGAAGAGAAAAACAAATGTTTCTTTTTCCTACAATAAACCACATCATTAGTTTATTTGCTTTAATCATTCTTATAAAAAATTTATTC